GAGCATGAGCTAGAACTAGGAAGGCTAAATGATGAAGAAGGTCAACACCAAAAGAGGAACTTAGCCTTCAAAACTGAAATTTCCAAAGGTAAGAGTAAAAAGGAAGAAGTCGGAGAATGATGAAGAAGAATTGAGTCTCATGATTAAGAAGTTTACCAAATTCATGAAAGCCAAAGGAAGGCATCCATTCAAAGGTAAGGGAAAGGTAAGAGAAAATACTTCCTTAAATATCAAATGCTATGGTTGTGGTGAAACAGGACATGTGAAGACCGAATGTCCAAACAAGAAAAATGAAGATAACAAAGGCAAAAAGTTCTTCAAGAAGAAAGCCTACATCGCTTGGGACAATAGTGATTCGAGTTCGGAGTCAAGTGATTCAGAAATAGAAGCTAATATTTGCTTAATGGCAAATCACAATATATCTTCCGATTTTGAGGTAAGTGATTTCGACTCATCTTCAAGTGATGATGAAAATAATTTTGATGAATTGCAAAATGCATATAATGAATTGTTTAATGCCTTTAAGGACTTGAAAAATGAATACAAAGCTGTGAAAAAGTGTTTAAACAAATCTGAAAAGGAAGTGGAGTCCTTAAAAACGAAAATTGCATGTTTAGAGGAAAAGGAAACCTTAGAAACGAAAATTGTATGTATAGATGAAAAAGATGATAAGAATATAGCATGTGCATCATGTAAAGAGTATGAATATGACATTGATATACTTAATCATTTTCTTGATAAAGCCGAGAAAGAATTAAGTAATAATAATAAAGATAAAGTTGTTATTGCTCAAAATAGAGTAAACCATCATATTCCTTTGAAAAAGCCTAAAATGAAAAATAGACGAGTATGGGTTGAAAAAGGAACTAAAGCATCTATTGTTAGAAATGTATCATATTCAAGAACTACATCTAAAGCATATTTTTATTGTATGAAATATGGTCATACCTCAAATAGATGTAAAATAAAGCATTTTGGTGTTCCTAAAGGAAAATGCGTTTGGGTTCCTATTATTAAATGACCTGTTTGTCTCTAACCCCAAGGACCCAAAAGTTATGGGGACCTAAGATTATCATGTTCTTGTTTTGTAGGAAACTTTCAAATCCAAGAGGTATATGTGGTATCTTGATAATGGATGTTAAAAGTGCATTTTTGAATGGGTTTATTAAAGAAGAAGTATATGTAGAGCAACCCCCTGGATTTAAAGATTTTAGTTATCCTAATCATATTTTTAAATTGAAGAAAGCATTACATGGTTTGAAACAAGCTCCTAGGTTTTGGTATGAAAGATTAAGTAGTTTTCTAACTTCAAATTATTTTTTTTAGAGGAAAAAATGATTCTACTTTGTTTATAAAAAAAGTAAAAGAACATATCTTATTGGTTCAAGTATATGTTGATGATATCATTTTTGGATCAATTGATAATTCTTTGTGTGTAGAATTTGCTAAGATAATGCAGCGAGAATTTGAAATGTCTATGATGGGAGAATTAACGTTCTTCCTTGGACTTCAAATCAAGCAACTTAAAGATGGCATTTTTGTCTCTCAAACCAAATACTGCAAAGAGATTCTCAAGAAGTTTGGAATGGACACTTCAAAGGAAGCTAACACACCCATGGGAACTTCATGCTACTTAGACAAGGATGAATCAGGTTTGGAAATTAATCAATCCATGTATAGAGGTATGATAGGTTCACTGTTATACTTTACTGCAAGTAAACCTGATATTATGCATTCTATCTGTGTGTGTGTGCTAGATTTCAATCATGTCCAAAAGAATCTCACCTAATTGCAGTTAAACGTATTTTAAAATATTTAAAAGGAACTACTGGTTTTGGTTTATGGTATCCATCTGAAGCTTCTACTAGTTTAATAGGTTATTCTGATGCTAATTATGGTGGATGCAAAATAGATAGAAAAAGTACTAGTGGGACATGTTGAAAGTGATGAAGATCTTATTGAAATACTCTGGCAATGATCTTATTGATTTGATGAAGTCAAAGATAAAGTCAAAGTCAACTTTGTAGCGGTCAACAGTCACTTAGATAAAAGAATAGAAGGATTAGTGTGTCCGCAGCTATGCTTAGGTATAATCACTTTTATCTTTTCTGCTGCATGAGGTTTCTTCACTTAAAAGATTTTGCAAAATGCCTCAAAAAACGTTTAAGCAGTTAAAAACAAAGTATTTTAACAAAAGCTTTCTTAAACAAGTTTTTAACTGATATAATTACGAAATAACCGGTTGTTTTCATTAAAGAAAGTTTTGAAAACCTTCTGTCAGTGTTTTAACTGATAAAGCTTCGAAATAACCGATTAAAATCACTTAAAATGTTAAGAGAAGCGTTTTTGCAGTATTTTTATCGATACAACTTGGTTTTAATCGATTAAATCCACTTAGTGTTCAGGATGATCGATCAGAATGCAATTATGACCGATCAGAACCAAATATGATCGATCAGAATTGAGTTATGACCGATCAAAATCAGATATGATCGATCAGAATTGAGTTATGACCGATTAAAACTTTTTTAATCGATTAAAACAACTTAGAAAATTTTCTACACAGCGTTTTAATCAATTAAAACTTATTTTTATCAGTTAAAATAACTTGAAAATTTTACAAGAAAGTTTTGCAGTATAATAATCGATTGAATCACGAAACAATCGATTAAAACAAATTAGAAGATTTTTTTTGTAAAGAGATTTAATTGATACAAACGTTGTCGTATCAGTTAAAACAAATCTGTTAAATAATCAAGAACGCTTTAATGGATTAAAAGAAGTTTTAACAGATTAAAACTACACTTTTAACAGATTAAAAGATTTTTTAACAGATTGATTAAACTAGCAGTTTTGAACATCTTCTATAAAAACAGTTTGGCTTGAAAATTTCAAACACAACAATTGAACATCAATCTTTAGCAATCAAGCAAACAAACTTTAGCACTCTTTCAAGAAAGATTCACGCTAGTTTTTGTGAAGTTCTTTGAAATTCTTTCTTGAGGCAAATTGCTTTCTTTTGGAGAAGAAACACTACTACAGAATTGCATAAAACTGGTTTGAGCATTCTAGTTTCTTCTTTTCATTTCTTTACATTCTTTTTGTATTGTTTGGTGCCTGGAATTGTGGGCACTGGTTTCTCTGCAGCTGGAATTTGGTTGTAGAGGTTGTCAAGAACTGGAATTTGGTTCTTGGTGAAAGGTTAGGTGCAGGAACTGGAATTGTGGTTCTTGTGGTAGATTAAGTGTAAGATTGTAATCTGTAAAACATTTAATCTAGTGGAACCCAGCTGGAATTTGGCTGGAGACTGGACGTAGCCTTGGTATTGGGTGAACCAGTATAAACATCGGTGATATCTTTCTAAACCTTTCTCCTCTTTTAATTCTATTACTGCATTTATTGTTGATTGATTGCTTTGTGATTCAAGAACAGATCTGAAATCTTATTTTTACATATAAATAATCTGTTAATTGCGAAAATCTTTCAAAGATCAATTCACCCCCCCTCTTGATCTCAGCCTTCTTTTCTAACACATGTCATTTGTTAGGATCATCATTAGTGTCTTGGTACTCTAAGAAACAAGCATGTGTTGATTTATCCACTACTGAAGCTGAATATATTGCAGCTGGTAATTGTTGTGCTCAAATTTTATGGATGAAGCAACAATTAGAAGATTATAGTATATTTCTAAATGATATTCCTTTGATGTTTGATAATACAAGTGTAATCCATTTTACTAAGAATCCAGTAATGCACTCTAGGACTAAACATATAGAAATTAGACATCATTTCTTAAGAGATCATATAAGTAAAGGAAACTGTCAAATTGAGTATGTTGATACAAATAATCAATTAGCGGATATTTTTACTAAGCCTCTTCCCAAGGATAGATTCTATGATCTTAGAAGAGACTTAGCAATATTAGACATTGCTTAAATTTTGCATGATTAAACAGTTTTTGTATAAATGTAATGTTATAATCAATTATGTAGGGTATTAATAGATTATCATGTGTCTAAACCTCAAAAATTTGATGAACTCTCTAGAATAATCGATTATTTGAAGTTATAATCGATTATTTGCATCTAAGATGTCCAAAATTTGAAGTTACTCACTGGATTAATCAATTATTTCATAAAATAATCGATTAACTATTGCTTTAATCGATTAACAGCTTGATTTAATCGATTAAATGGGTCTGTTACTGTTTTAATCGATTATTTCAAGATTTAATCGATTAAACCTGATAGTTTTTGTTTACTAGCCGTTTCCAACGGCTCTTTTGGCCCCTATGCACTCCCAAATGACTGTTTATGACCGTTGGAGATGTTGTTTATAAATAGGAAGCCTTCATTTCACTTCTCCACACCTCAAACTCTTGAATCCAAGCATTCTAGCATCATTGTCGCCGCCGTAAATAAGAGGCGGTCGGAGCGACGTGATGGTTCCGAATTTCCATTTTTCGCGTTTTTATGGGTGATGTTACAACGCCTTTAGGTTGTCTGATAACCAGGCTGACCTAAGAACTAATTTGAAAGGGTTCTTATGGAGTCGCCACCGATGTTTTTACCGGAAACATCGAAAAACACTACAAGAACTTTACATATTAGCTATGACACATTCTGTAGCTATTTTATAGCTAATCTCTCGCTGGTATGTTTTGCTACAGATTAGCTACGGAATAGCTATGGAATAGTCCGTAGCTAAATCCAAGTAGCTAATTAGATACAGATGTATTCTCTCTCAAACTTGTAGCAAATATTGTCGCTAAATTGTCGCTAAATCCCTCGCTAATTTAAATGATGAAATAGCTAATTTGATCTCCCAAAACTTGTAGCTAATCCGTAGCTAATCTCTCGCAATTTCGTTCTCGCTAATCCGTAGCTAATCCCTCGCAATTTCGCTCTCGCTAATCCGTAGCTAATCCCTCGCAATTTCACTCTCGCTAATTCGTAGTTAATCTCTCACAATTTTTCTCTCACTAATCCGTAGCTAATCGCTCACAATTTTACTCTCGCTAATTTTGAATTTGCTTTCTCTTTTTCCTTTTTCCTTATTATCCCAGATGCACAGCGCTCTGAGGAATGAAGCATCTTGGGGTTATCTTTTTCATTTTGTGAATGCCACTGCAATAATTCCTCTTGGGCATTGCTTACCTATACACCCGAATAAAATGATACAATCAAGAAACAAATCATCACAGTCACCATCACCACCTATAAACCACACCTGACGCTTAAGTTCAGGAAACTTGCTTGATTCCTCAATGACTATGTTCTTATCCCATTTATAGTTCAAAAACTGAACCCATCCATCATCAGGCACCATTGATTTCCCATAAGTAATCTTAGTCCCCACACACATAATAGCTATATCAAGAGTTATCATAGGCTTCTCTTTCCTCAGTTGTTTGTAGAGTGTAGGTGATCTCCCAGTTGAGAACACCAGCAGAGAATCTTGGCGATAATGTGCTTCCCAAAGCGCATTGAACCTAAAAAGTGAACTATTCTCAAGGTCATGGTGATCAACCTGCAACCAAAACACATCAACCATTCAAATCACGATCACCACCAACACTAAAAAAAAGGTTTTAAATAACAGAGACTGCAATTCAGGCCGGAACATCAAGATTGTGAGGGTGGTCGAGACTGCAACTGTAGCTACACATTTTTCCGCAATTTCCCAAAATATCAAGAAATGCCACGAAACTATGACCACAATTTAAAATCTTAAATAATAATAACAACAAACACAACAACAGTAATAATAATAATAATAGGGGGCATTTACAGAAACATACCATTGTGTGATCGAGATCCGAAACAAGTATGAGCCGTGGGGAAGAATTTAGTCGATCCATGATGTTCAATCCCCAATTCAATCCTGCAAATAGAGATTCAAAGAGAAAAGGGAAAGATTATTATACAATAACTTTCTGCAGCACATTCATTTATGAAAGTAAATTAACAAATAAATTAAAATGACAAAGCAGCAAGTAACTTCTATATATTTGAGTGCACGATCTCTCTCAATTTAACACAAAATTCTGACGATGACGATGATAATGAAAGAAAGAACTATCTATCTATTTATACATCTACTTATCTAATAGTTTCTTTTACTTCACCGATCTTTCCCAATTCACCGAGTCAGAAATGAATTCTAATTGCGATACTGTAATTGTCGCTAACCCAAACTAATTCTGCTGGATATGATTTAAATAAAACACAGATTTCTTATTACATTACATGAAAAAATTCTCTACAACAACATCTAACATATGATATGAATAAACTAAAACAAAAAATTACCGGTTGAAGAAAAGGTGATGAAAAAGAAGAAGGTGAGAGTGATGAGAACACCACCCTAATCACACGCAGTAGCCATACCATTTACTACACATTTATAATAATATCGGAGAGTAAGAAAAGTTTTCAGGGTGTGGTGGAAGAGTGGCTGAAACTTGTTATCATCATCAATTAATTAAGAACCATTAATTTTGAGAAAATTATGTAAGAAGAACATGAGAAAAAACATTAATTTAGATTTTTATTAAAAGAATTATAAAAAAATAAATAAAGTAGTATTTTTGAATATAATAATTTTTTTATTTCTTATAAAGAATAGTTTCCAAAAAAATTATAAAGAAATATTATTTATAAAATTTGTCTATTAATTTAAATATTATTAAATATTTCTAACAAATTTAAATTTATAAAAAACTTACAAAAAATAATTTTAAATATTTATCAATTTTTTTAGATATTTTTTCAAAAAAATTATAATTAGTTCTAAATAATTTATTTTAGATAAAAAATAATTTATATATATATATATATATATATATATATATAATTATATATTTATAGTAAATTTGGTAAAAATAATTTTTTTAAGAAAAAATTGTAATTAATTTTTATTGATATTTTTTTCAAAAAGATCAAAAAATATTTTTTATAATTATATATTTTTAGAGAAATTTACAAGTATTTTTTATAAATAATTTTTTATAAAACTAAAATAATTTATAAGAATGGTTCCCAATAATTTAATATTTTTTTCAATTTGATAGTTGCTATAAATTTGCTACAGTTTAACTATAATTGTATGTTACACAATTTAGCTAGGAAATAGCTTCAAAAAGTAATATAACTAATATTTATAGCGAGGGATTAGTGACAAAAATTTTCCTAACTAAATTATTTTTCTCCTAAGTGAGAGAATAACTACAAAAATATTAGTCTTCTAGCTATTTTACTACAAATTATCTACAACCTTATTCTTTCACTATTCCATAGCTAATTAGCTACAAATTAGTGAAAAATAAATTTTGTAGCTAATTTTCCTAGCTAATTATAAAATTTCTTGTGGTGAAAGGAAAGAAAAGGCGTTGATTTTCGAAAACCAACTTTGGTCGTTAAAACCAGAGTTGCGTAAGGGAGTTAGTTACGTGTAAGGGAAGTGTTAGTTCCCTTTCGACGCCCCTTTTGGGTTCCCTATGATAGGCCAGTTATTTTATAGATAAACTTTCGGAAAAGACGTTTTTACCCTTTTTATTTGCGAAATCAAGATAACGACTACATGGCCCTAATAACTATTGCGAAATTTAATATAAATAAAAGACAGTAAAAGAGAGGGAGAGAGTGAAGAAACCTCCGAGGCAAGCTTTTTGATTAATTCTCTGAAAAATAGGGTGTGTTTTGGTAGCCCTTCGCTCTTACAATGCCGAAAATAGCTCTCGAAACGCTATAAAAAGCTCTCTAAGACACTCAGAAACTCCGGAAATGCTTCGGAGGGACTCTAGGAGGAGAATTTGAAGAAAGTGAAGAAGGGAAAGTGGAAGAACTGTGTGAAATGAAGGGGGGAGCGCTCACTATTTATAGGGATTCGCCCCTGTCAAGTCGAGAAGGCGGTCTCGACTAGCAAGGTTGAGATTGCGGTCTCGACTTTGCCAAGTGACGAGAAGGCCTTCTCGTCAAACGGGAGGGGGGTCTTGCCATGGGCAAGTGGCAAGACGACCGTCTCGCCAAACGAGATGATGGTCTCGACTTGCTTTTCAGCGAGACGGCGGTCTCGACTCCCAAAGGCAAAAATCCTTATTTTTGTAAAGAAAATCCTTCCTACTCTATTATGGGGCCTAATAGTCTCTCCTTGTGGCTTTTTAGGATTCGTCCATCTTCAAATAGAAGGTCTTCTGCTCTTATTTTGAGGCCGGGCAAGATTTGGGGTCTACAATCATTCAAGCCTTCTTGTCTTCTCCTAACATCACTTGTCTTCCTAAACTCTCTTGTTATTCTTCTAATTCTAAAATGGCCTCATCTTCTCGTGCTAAAATTCCCACAAGAAGAAGATCTGCTCCTGCCTCTCATCCCCGTCCGAATTCTGTCGAAGGATGGATCTCAGATGATGAGGGCCGACAAGAATTTCTCACTTTTTGGAAGGAACGAGATATCATTACTCCAAAATTCCTTATTGGTGATCAATTCATCAATAGGGGATTTAATTTTCCTAATCTTCTTGAGATTCAAGGTGTTCTCCCTTTTATCCAAATGCAAGGTACATACTATCCTGACTTAGGTAAGGTATTTTGCTCTCGCTTTAAATTTAGAGATCAAGTAGCTACCTCTCATGTAAAGGGGGCAACCGTTATTCTTGATGATGATATATGGGAAAACATTGCACATTTTCCTATAAGAGATGATGCTATTAACATTTTTGCAGAGTTAGATGACTTTGACAAGATCATGGCTTACCGTTCTTTGCTCCGCAACCCTTCCATGGAGATTAGGCGTCTTCTTCTAGCCGGGCCATTAAAGAAGGAGGAACGCTTGTTCCTGCATCTACTCGTTTGGATCTTATGTCCTCGGGCAACCAACCATGCCTAATGCTCTTCAATAGATCTTCGCATTATTCATGAAATAATGAATAATGAGCCAATAGATTGGGGAAGCCTTGTCACAATGACTATGCTGAAGGCAAAATGTCATCCTACTTTCAAAATTTCCTATGCTCTCCTTATCTCTCGCATTCTAGAGTACAAATGAGTGAATGTTGAAGGGGAACAAACGGTACAAACGACAAACTTAAACCGAATGCTGGAAAACACATTAACCCAACTTCAAGTGGTGCGTGTCAATAATATTTATGTTCACAAGGATGACGTTCCGAACATAGATGCAGATGATAAAGATTCTGACGAAGAAATGCCTCCTGCTGCTGAGTTTCCCTCTGAACAGATTCATAATGCTGGAACATCTTCTACTCCTCCCGAAACTCGTCAATCTGTGGAAGACATGTTATTTGATATGAACCAGAGGATGCAGGCATTCTTCACTCTCTCTAGAGTACGACATGAGGAAATCATTTGTCGTATCTCCGACGTTGATGATAAAGTGTGTCACTTAGAGAATAAATTTGATGCTCACTTTAATAGCGATAGTGAAGAGTTTTAATATTGTTTTCATATCCTCTTGTTTTGTAAATTATTTTCATTTATGAAATAAAATTTGTCTTGTTGCTTTGTTTGAGGGGGAGTTTTTTCCTAATTATGCATATTTTGAGGGGGAGCTCTTAATTTTTTGATCATAATCAAAATAGGGGGAGAAATATTTAAAGCCTCTTGTGATTGAAATCATTTAAATATTATCTGGTATGTTGCCTCTTATGATTGAATTTAAAAATTATCTAGTATGTTTAATGGTTTTGTTAGTGTGACAGATAAAACAAGTTATTACAGGGCTTTAAAAGAAAATTTTGATCATCATCAAAAAGGGGGAGATTGTTGAAACATACAAGGACATGAATGTTAAACTTACATGGACATGAAGCTTGTTGATATTGATGATGATTCAAGAACAATGGACTTAGAGAGTTGAAGACTTGTATTCTTGTGTAATAACTCTGTTTTGATGATTTTGAGTCTGTATATTAGAATCTAAGATAGCCAGCACATAGTTTACTCTTTAGAAGCTTCAAAAACTTATTTTTATCAAAAACACACTGGTTTAATCGATTAAAAGGCTAAATAATCGATTAGTACAGAGAAAAAAACCATTTTTTGTATAAGCTCTCTGGAATAATCGATTAACAGCTGAAATAATCGATTAATAGGGCTGTTAATCGATTAACAACCTAAATAATCGATTAACTGGCGTGGTTATGGGTTCCTGCTGATTTTGGCTCTATAATAATCGATTAACACTCAAGATAATCGATTATTTCAGTCAAATATGCATTTTAAACTTCAAAATTAGACCAAGTTTCGAAAACCCTACTCCCAATACACCAGGTTTCGAAAATCCCCAATTCCCAAACCCTAATCTGTCTACTTAAGGTTCTCTAAGGCTCTTTACAAAGTGAACAACCTTTTTCAAACAAAAGTTGAGAACTATGACTGCCAGAGAACTGTTTGTTGGAGGAAAAATGGGCTTTTGAAACCTAGTGTGGGATAGAAGCGATAAGAATCACTGAGTGGGTTTTCTTAGTGGATTGTGTGTTGTGCCGTTTCTAGGGAAAGTTGTTCTTCATCCTTTGTGGGATTCAAAGGAGGTGCTCATCTCTTGTGTGACTCAAGAGAGGTGTATTCGTTACCTTATCTTTTCAATTGTTATCTGTTTGTAAAACTTTGATTATAGTGACAGCGTTAATCCTCTGTTTGAGTGATTAGCAACTGGACGTAGGGTCTTTTGATCCGAACCAGTATAAATCTTCTGTGTAAGACTCTATCCTTATTCTATTTACGTTTACACAACATTTTAATCGGTAAAATTTGGGGAAAATTTTTAAAACCTAATCTTTGTTAAG